TAATATCGCCAACTTAAAATGAATGATATTTTCAACGACGCCGGGATAACGATATATTCCGCGCTAAATACTGTAGCTATTTCATACGTTCTAAATTGCAAGAAAATAAAAAATGTATATATTGTCATGTTCGGTCACAATCGAAACTAAGGATGAAAACATTTAATTACGACACAATTTGCTTTTAGATTTATTGTCGGGGCCGCAAACTATCTCGACTAAATTGAAATATACGATGATAATTTATTAAAATTAGGTTTTTGATTTTTCAAACTTTTTTTATATATATAATGTCAGCTTGACTGTAATGCGTGGCCCACTAAATCAACTGATGGCTCTAAATCAGCATATTGTCAACTGTGCAAATCCACTATTGTGTGAAGATTATAAATCTGACAAATTATGGGGCTTTTGTACTCAGTAAAACTGATGAATTTTTGTGTATTGACCTGGCTTTTTTATCACTGGAATATGACAACCCTGCTACGTATGGTTTTTCTATATCTTAATAATCATATGATACCAGCTTCGGTCTTGTATTTCAGTATTTTGGTGTAGTTTTGAAGGATTTTATAAGCACAAAAACTAGAACGATAACCTGAGCACTTATATCGTTATTCAAGCAATTCGGACCGAACTTACGAATTTCTGCTCCAAGTACGATTTATTTACCTCGCTCTGGCAAGTTCAACTAAACCCGCATTTCTCGTGTCAAACGCCAGTTAGTTGATGTGAATGGAATGCTGGAGTTGGTGGGATACTGGCAAAGACATTTCTTATAGAAGAAATTGAACTTTATACGCCACATTTGCAGAGTTAGTAAAAATCCGGTACCTCAATCTGTTACTGGTACTCGCACAATTTTTGAATTTTCACTATAAAATCGTTTGAACGGGCTCCAACTGAAACTTTTATTCCGATACGATAATACTAGGATGGTAATGACATAAGCAAAGTTGTGTTTCAAGTAAAAACGTGAGCTCACTTACCAAGATTTGATCGACAAATTTTAAATACACTCACTGTATGGTAAAAAGTTAACGTATTGTCAGCCTAACTACCGGTAGTGCCGTAATTTTTATATTGTTCTGTGCGGCGTGCAACATGCTGCTGATTTCATAGTTTGTTTCAATACCATGTGGGCAGAAGTGTGATTTTACTATTTCCGACGAAATGGTATTTTTATTGTCGTATCTTTTATGACGTTACTGAACTTGGTATTTCGTTCACAGATTATGGTTAGAAGTCGAACGAGTTCATCAGAAAGAGCAATAGTGTCTACAATTATATACAACACAAAATGGAAATCGCATCTGATTTGGATTCTACTGTTTAATCCGCTTCATCCTTATTATTTTGTATTCAATTTTCAAAATATTGAGATAAAATATACGCATAGTTTCAGTACCATTGATTAATTGTTCTACCAAAGCAGCGTTGGAGCGATGCTCATCATGGTGCTCGTGAACATGTGAAACATCTAAGGCAGTGGTTCCCAAACTTTTTACCTTTTTAGAACATAACACAGAACACTGTATTGGCTGCTAATCATCGCAAAACTACCGTGTTTCCTCGAAAATAAAACCTGGCTTAAAAATAATACCTAATTTGAATTTTAAATTGATTGTATTTGGACCCTACCCTTAAAATAAATTTGAAATGGGTAGGAGAGGAAAGGTTCAATGACCTTGAGGTAAGGTGAAGTTCACACCACTATTCAAGATTGTGTGATATCACAATTATGATATTTGTCACCTGATTTTTGTATAGGAAATGCAAATGAAAACAATGGATGTCGGTTTTTATATAAGGTTTATTAAAAAATCTCGTGATTTTCTACAATGTAATTTTATTTTTGATAAATGAACACAAAAGACCTCTTTCAAAAAAAAAAAAACGCTATGCGTAAAAAAACACATATGGTCATTCTTTGTGTGGCAAACTTTTGTTCCTTTGCGCGAAGATCGTAAAAAGGAATCTTTCACAGATTAGAATTAAAATTCAATTTAATTTCTTTTGTTTTTTTGAAGATTTACGTGTTCGAGTCGCAACCGATCCTAATAACCAGTATAACGAGCAAAATTTGGAGCGGATTCAATCTAGGTTTCGTGAGATATCGCGTGTATCTAACAGACAAACATACAAAAAGACAAATACTCATCAACATATTTACCGGTCAAGATCGATAAGTATTTAATCAAAGCTTTCTACATCTTTTCACGACCCACTAAGTTTCCTTTTGCGACCCACCAGTGGGTCGCGACCCATAGTTTGGGAACCGCTGATCTAAGGCGTATGGTTGCCTCAAATACCACTACGTTATTGCCAGATCGAACCCGTTGGATCGGTTTCTAGGGAATATAATCAGGCCTATTGATGCCGCACCCAATCTATCATGCGCGGGGTCTGGGGGTGAAATTACTCCTTTTGATTCGTAACACCTTTATTTAATCTACTGTTAGATTTTGTATTTTATTGGTCGAAACACTGCTACCGGTTGCAGCAATGCAGCTGTGGTTGTTATAGCTAGATTTCTCTTGTGTTTGGGTCTTTTATGTCTGTAAAATTGTTGCAAGTTTCTAAGTAGGGTACCAAGTTATGTTTATTTTTTAGTTTATGGTCATTGGTTTATGATAGTCCTGAATATGTTAGTCAGTAAAATGACATTGCTGTTTGAGTATAGTGCAATTACAGTGCTTGATTTTAGGGATTGTCTTCAGATTTCAAGTCGTTAGTGTATATATAACGTTATATATTGTTTTTCTTACATTTTGATACCCAGTATTCGTTATTTTTATTGTATTTTCTTTCTTTTCTGATGATTCATTGTAGTATTTGATTGTATTAAGATTTTTAGTTTATAAATAAGATTGAAATAGCATTAATTGGAGTGATTTCTGGGAAAAAGATTGACATCAGACCATATTAGAAGATATTTCGAACTGGGAAATTCGTACATAGACTGACAGTACGCTACAGATTTAAAGTGAAAGCATCACATTTTGGAAAGTCAAGCCGACTCAAGTACGGCGCAGGATACAAATAAAATAAAAATTGAAGCAAAAAAAAGTACGGTCGGTGTTGATGATAGAAGATTTATATGTATCGTCCCCTGGAATATATATCAAAATCATAGTACAATATTCTTTAAATCACAAAATATGTATATATATTTGAATCGACATAATTATTTGGTCAACAGAGTATGGAGTGTAAAAGTATATAAACGGCACCCAAAAAAAGCACAATCATATAAAGTTATCCACAATCAATAAAATAAAACGGTTTATTTTTTTATTGGTAATGATGGAACACTTGTCCCTTGCCTCAACAGTCTGTTGTCGACGATTCAACGAGAGCTCAACGCATTCGCGGGGCAGAATATTGCTTTTAACGGTTTCTAAAAACGTCCATTTCATCGTTGCTAACTCTAACTGATGTATGTGACTATTTCTGTTGAATAAAGAATAAACTTCGTTGAATTATATAACTATGTTTACTCAAACGCTTTGTTGCCATGTGGAAGTGCATATCCATAGCTTCTGTAATTACAACCGAGGAAAATTAGCCAATGAGCAGCAAGACTTGTAATCTGAACCTTATATATTGGGAAGGATAACAAAGACTATTAAGGAGTAAAAATTTCAAACCACTGACACATGTCAGATTTACAATTTTTCAACCTTACCTTTTATTTCAACCTATTTATCTCATAACAATTAATACATAGTGATTCGTCAACAATCTTATGACCAATATTCATGTATCGCTGAGTTATATATATGACAAGATTATCGATTGGAATTAACAGAACCGACTATCTTCATTTATTGTACAGTATTAGCAAAATTGTAACACACGCAGAGAACCAAACAGTGAAACAAACGTATCAATATCACATGATTAGACGTTGATGTGGTCGAAACTAGATGAAACGCACAATAACCAACGATGTCTGTTAGTTTGATTGGAATTGGAACGTATTTCATGTTATGCTCGGTTTACTTGTGAGTGGTTTGTCGTTGCCTAATCAGAGTGGCATTAGCAAACCATTAAATTCTAAAAATTATCCTCATGGTTTACCAGACATAACGCTCTTTAGCTTGTATATATGAAATTCATGTCTACTAAATCATTAGATTCTTAATCCACGGAAAAATGAAACTGATTTTGCAGGATACATATTGAACTAAGTGATTCAAGAGTTCAAAGACTCTTGAATCACTTAGGATAGTTATCTTTAATCTTGCTACAGCATCCTTGCACTATATGCATACGGATCCGCCGACAAAAAAGCATAGAAGAAGGATAAGTAGTTAGTCTCGCAGAAACCAAATCATACATATTGAAACTACCCTTTTAAACAATTTAAACTGCGGGATTGTAATGTTCCTGCTGTGTGAAAGTATATATAAAAGCAAAGTGTGAACCATTTTGGTATATTATTTGCAACATAGTATAAATCAGGGTGGTCCAAACCCGGGCCCGCGGGCCACATCTGGCCCGCCGCTTCATTTTTTGTGACCCGCGTCGCATTGGCGCAAGGGTAAACAAAAATTGAATTTGGTGTTGTTTCGTCATAACAATAATCAGAAAAATTTTCTGACATATTGTTACATTACTGATGTCATTGAATTGACTGGTGTTATGGATAGCTGAGGCAACTAGCGAAATTGAATAAAGTGGTTGGCTAGTCTTAATTGTTACTTGGTTTCTATATTTGTGGTCGGGTCGGGAATATATGCTAACAAAATCGGCTTCATAGAAAACTAAAAATCCAATGAGGAATCTATTAGCCTAGGTTGACTATGCCTGATAAATAAATATTAATGTAATGGCCGACCAATATAATTCCTGCCGGTGTTTTTTTTCAAACAGCCTGAACGGTGATACAAAAAATGCTGCCTATATGTCAGAAAATATAGTAATTACCCTCCTGTATCTCAAATTTGGTAAAAATCGGTAATCAATCAATCTGCAGTTATTTGTAATTTATTTTGCAAACATGAGTTTGAAATAAAAGCTGACCAATTCAAACATGTTCTTGACTATTTAGCTAATTGAATCGTACCTTTTTTTGTAGCCGACTCCGATTATGTTGTTGTCTACTGCAAATGCCGCGAAACTGACAGCTTGATCGTATGGAAATGGTCCGCCAGGAGTAACGATTGTCCAAGTGTCATTCACGGTATCATACAATTGTATGTCACTGTGATCTGTTTTTTTTTTCATAAAATAGCATATTATGATATACGTATATCGCGAAATATCTAGTTAACTTGGATATATATCCTTAACGGAAATGCACAAATTCATTTGTTTATTTAAAAAATTATAAAAGTATCATACTCATTACGTATATGACGTCATTAAACGTAACGGGTCTCATCGGGGGGAACTCCATGGGGCGTGTCATTGGAGAGACATTTTGCCAAACGTCGGAAGCAGCGTGGTATCTCTCGACTTCTACTGTCGAATTCCAGTGTTCATCTCTGCCCGCAAAGCAATAAATAAAACCTGGAATAGTAGAGCTCCATTGTATGTGCTAAATGTAGACTTGTTAAGCATTTAAATGCGTCATATTATTTTATTTTATTTCCTTTATTTCCAATATAGATCTTGTAAGTCCGGTTTCATAACCTGCAAAACGAACGATAAACGAAACCATGGGACCAGGGAAATGCCAGGGCCCTATGTATGAGAGTGGTGTGATGTAACTCACCGTTACAGACGGCGATATAGTGATTTTCCCTTTCACCGTTCATATCTCGAACTCTTGTCCATTTATCAATCTTCGGATCGTATTTTTCAACAAATTTTCTTGGCGATGTGGGATACGGTGCATATCCTCTTCCAACAACATAGATGCATCCTGATTAAAGTATTTATTAATTAATTAAGTGTGGTATTGCAGTTAACAGTTTTCTGGGACAATAATGACGAATATAGCATTTTAAAGAAGATTCCATCTTAGAGATTATAGGAAATTCTTACACCTTATTTCAAGTTGCTCACCGTCGAGTGCTTCAGCAGGAGCAAACCATCCATGATTTTCAATCATATCTGCTACTCTTTCCCATTCTGCTTCCGTTTTTCGATAGTCAAGCCTATAGACTGCCTTTGTCTCCATCAACACGTAAATTGAATTGTTTATCCGCATGGAATGAAAATTGTTGTCGATGATGTCATCAGGAAATTTTTGACACTGTGATTGAAAAATCCGTGGTATTTCTCAACCCATTATTAGAATATAATACGTGTATGGTCAATTCCAATTGAATAAAACAAAATCTATTTCAAGGCATTAGCTGTGCTGTGCTTAGATATTTCAAATAACTCAATAGAGCAGCTCACCTTCATTGGGATCCACCTCATAGCAGATGGCGATAAGGCGGATATATGTCCCGAATCGCGATCAAAAATTGCGACTGCATTTGCTGAACCTTGAAATTAATAACATATGTGTATATAAATCAATTAAAAACTTATATTTTTCCAGTATTGGGGTCGATCCCAACCAAGTAGAATTACTCCCCAGAGAGTAATCTTGTTGTTTTCGGGAAGGAAATATTACTTTCTTTTCGGATTAGTTTCGCTATTATTATTCATAATTATTGCAATATTAAGTTTCAAAATAGGCAAAGGGAAGAATGTATCGAAGAAGATTGGGAACCACTGGCTATCCAAGTATATATGCATAATTTCACCCACCCTCTGCGCAGACGTCAGAAACTTTCGCTGACGAGGAAAAACTCGATGTTCTGCTGACATTAATACTATCGGTGAGGGATACAAAATAATCTTCATCTGTAGACAAACCTGAAAATTATACAAAAAGAATCTTCATATTAGAGCGTGTATTTAAGATACGATGGCGTGTGAAATTTATCTAACTTCGGAATTTCTCATTTTCATAGCTTTGAGCACATTTGCAGATTGATACTTTGACTTTAACTTGCCATCTATAAAATAATCATGAGCTGAAAAATCTAAACTTTTTCAAGCTGTTTGTAAAAAAAAAGCAAGGTAATAGTTTCAAATAACAATAGTGTCAAAATAGAATGCTAAGAAAATACCCCCCAATCCAAAATAATTAACTTACTCTTGGGCTTTGTAGCAGTTTTGCGTAGTAAGAACTCGTGCTCTAAAATTTTCTTGCACGACGGTGCATTGCAATGTCCATTCTATCAACTCTTTTGCTGTTTCGGATCTAGGTATCGTAGGAAGCTCAATATTTAGATTCTTGTTTTTTTTTAAGTTGTAATTCCATAAATCGGGTTCGGCGCCAAAAGCATGGCGTCCATCACTCAATATGAAATAAACAACCAAACCATAGGAAAAAATATCCGCTTGTTTCAATATGACATCAGAATTGTAAGTTTCCGGAGGTCGATACCCGTCTGTACCGGGACGAATCATGCTTTGTGCAGTAACCGACCGTCCATGGCTCAATTCTTTACTCAAACCAAAGTCGGAAATTTTTAAAGATTTCTCATCTAAGGCAAACAAAATGTTTTCAGGCTTGAGATCTCTATGTAATACGTTGTTTAGATGAATAAATGCGAGTCCTTCGGTTAATTGCCGAACCATTGATTGCTTTTTTGCAAAGATTATTAAGTTTCCAGTGGTCCTCTGCTCAAGAATGTAATCATACAGTGTTTTGGTGAGACAAAGTTCCATGGCTATATACATTGTCGGAAACGGCCCTTCTTCGTAAACATCAGAATGAATAATAGACACAACATGATGGTGTTGCAATTTCAGAAGTATATTTGCCTCTTTTATATTTGCTTCGTCGTACGGAGTAAGGAATTTGATAGCTATGGGGATATTCCCTGTTATTTTACTTAAATGAAGTCCTTGGTAAATGTGTGCTTTCTTGCACAAAGCTCGAGTTTTGAATAATCCAATTTTGTCACTCAATTGTATCCAACCTGTAATGTAAAGATTTAAATGACACCAAAAAGCAACGCAGCGGAGCTTTGGTGTTAAAGTACAAAGAATATTATAGTTCTTTAAACGTTAGTTTAAATGACATTTGTTTAGATAACTGATAACGAGGGACGTTTAATGCAATTTATGTTAGGGCAGAAAATAAAAAAAAAACTTCTTGGCTTGTTCAAATGACTTATCACCATTACAATTCTTTTTTTGTTTTGATATTGTGTTATGATATTAAAAAGATAATCGTGTATTGATATTTTATCAGTTTTTGATTAAATACAGAAAATAGGTGCTATACCTTCCCCAAAATCTTCAACGGGATCTTGTGTGTCTCTTTGTGGTCGTTTTTCGTTCACGCTAGGTGCTGGTGCAGAAGATGCTAGAGCAGAAACATAAATGCATCATATTACTTTCACGTGATTGTGCAAAGTACGAAAATATATCCATAATACACTTACTCTGTTCAGTTATGTAAGTGTTGTACGTGTTGTGATATATTTGCTTTCTGAAATCACCATCAATTACTCCATCTGAAAAAATATAAAAATTTTGATTGAAAATTGAGAAGAAAACACCCTGTAACAAATTCAGTTGAATCCTAAAACAGATACATGCAATGATCAGGATATGCAATGTGATGCAAAAAGATAACAAATACTGAATGAAAATAAATCTGTAATTATAACCATTCTCCTTAATTACTCTTCTGAAGGTGCGGAAAATTCTCCCAAGTGTACTGTTTTATCAAATAGAATATAATGAACATTCGCAGCAGGGGTGTGCAACATTTTCACCGGTGGACCATGTAACAACTTCGGACGTCTCGCTGCGCCACACAAAAAATTTAGATTTTTCCTGTACACGACGAATTAAAAAATTCTCATAATGAAAATTTTATTTATTAACGTTTTAGTGGGATACTTAAAATTTTGATTTCTTGCATAGTTTGTTAACATCAGCTTTGACAGAGGATGCAGAACCTTCAACTGACTGGTCAAATGTTCATCAGTCAGTTGATTTCTGCAGCTGCTTTTGGTGAGATTCATTTTGGAGAAAGAGACACCGGGCAAAATGGCAAAAGAATTAACTCAGGGATACTAGCAAAAAAACATTATGTATTTTTATCAATGTGAGAGTCTTTTTAAACATATACTGTCGGATTGAGATTTTATGCTTAATGAGGAAAAATCTGAGTGTTAAGAAGGTCCACGCTGAATGGTATGGCGGGCCTGGTTGTGGCACGCGGGTCGCCTGTTGCACACCTACTTATCTACAGCGTGCGGAATTTTTGAGTGATTTCCCAATAGTATAACTATACGTTTATCTCGTTTTGCATCATACCTTTCTTAGTCAGATTATACTGCGGTGAACCAAATGTTGCGTTTTTGAAATCTCCTCCACTCACGCCATCTGAATTAACCCATCATTTCACATAAAAAAATTAAAAAATAAATTAGTGGTTTTAAGTGAGTAATTTATTTATAAATTTGCTTCAGCGATTCTTCATATATCCCAAATTAATTTTCGGAGATCCCAGTGCGAAGTGATATGATAAACAATAGGTTTCTGGAACGCGTTTACATCTTAAACCAATGGACATTTGATAACGTTTACTGAAATCGAATTTGCACAACTTCACACTACATATAATTATCGTGGGTTATTTAGAACTGACCTATTATTTTGACAACAAGAATGCGAATGTTGGGTATTGTTGTCTCCTTGGCTTGCGACATAATTTACAAAGACTGAAAATATAGTTTTACTATATATAATATTCGTGTTATATAACAAAAAATAATAGAATCTTCAAAATAGTCAAATATCGCATATCTATATACAAGTGATTCCTTGATTAGCAGTCTTTTGCGTGGCTATATAAAATTTAAAGTCATACATGATCTCTCTTGTGACATTGCTAATTCATTTGAGTTTGATGATATATTTGCTATTTGCCCTCTGTTTTGAAGCTCTATATGTTGACCATGTTCATTTTCTGATCCTATGTCTGAGATATGGCCCTCGTCCTCATCTGAAATAGAAAAATTGTAAAGATAATGCAAATTTGGTTTATATTTACTCCAAGTGATGTTTACTAACCGGTGAAATGCGATTCCGACATATCTTCTGTAGATTCAATTTTCTTCTTGCAAAATTATATTAACAATCTGATCTTGAACAAAATAAAACCCTCAACTAAATTTCATCTTTTTATTTTTCAAGTCGAAATCCACGCGCAAATGTTTACTGCACGATACAATTAGCTACATGCCTTTAGGCAATTAAATCTTGTTAATCTCGTGGTAAAATCATCGCAACGTCGAAAAGTCGTCACTTCACTAAAGTGACTTCTTTTTTAATTTGTTTATCTATGATTCGTCCTTAATTTCTTGTAAAAATGCGCACTGTTGGAGTTTCAATATATAAAAAGTGAAGGGAAAATATATAAAACATTCTTTCACAAACGACTCTAATACCATTCCTTGTATACATGTATTTCCTCATAATTGTATGTTATCATAGCGCAATTACCTTGTTCGGTCACAATTTATCTTCACATGACACTTTAGAATAGGTTGTCATAAGAATAAAGACAGAATTATTTGACCCACAAAACGAGCGTGGGCCGGACAAAACCAACGTTGTTGGCCTTTTTTGTCAGAATATGCTGCTGGTCTATTTTTTTGGAAATCATTTTCGCAAAATGTAGTTCTGCTGAAACAAAATTTGACAAAAATGTAATTAATGAGAATGTGAGAATAAGATTCCAGGTTTCACGGTCAAAGACCGAATTTTGAGCATTAAGCTGGTATCCAATAGAAATATGAAAAAAAGATAAAATGTCTTGAATTTCCGGGTCACTATTAATATACAAAATACGCAGCTGTCTCAATTAGGTGATTCAACCATTTAAAACAAGAGAGCAATGGTTAAATGTAAAGACACGAAAGCCATGGACCTTTCCCTGAGCATCGACTTCCTTGTTTACTACGTGACATTGGCTAATCAGCAAGATGCAAAAAGTGACGTAACAATGTTTCCTTTTCGCATCCGCTCAGACACTTTTCTCACTCAGACAGATTTTCCAGCGTGGTCGTAAACATTACCTCGTTTTCCCGTTTTTGAACTCTATTCGATAGATTTCAGTTGTGTTTAGGAAACCTAAATATAAATCAGATAATTCAATGATCACTCTGTCTTTCTAGGAGTTTTAATTTATTCGCAGTAATAAAAAATTAGTGTAGAAATAACTGTGATAGACTAGGCTGAAATTCTCTACCGTTGCTTTCAAAAAACAGATGGTTGTATGCGATGAATCATAATGATGGTTTGAAACACATACCCCATTTTACAGGCGCAAAATCGCAAAAGCACTCCTAAAATAGCCCCGAGAATTTTGCAATGGTAAAGTACAGAAAGAATTTTTCGGGGTCAAAGGTCGGGGAAAAGTCCATAACCAAGTTGTTTATCTTACTTAGTGTACAGTGCGTTTCTGGTATCAACTAACCTTTGACTTTCGCGTAGCACGAGTTCGCAAAATAAAAGCGGAAGACAGCCGTCACGCTTGGCGGATTAAAAACCGTGTTCCCACAGTAAAAAAATAGGACAGCAAAATTGTGAATGAAATATTAGATTCATCAAATATTTAGGACTGAATAAAAGTAATAGCCTTTTATCGACTTCAAGAATCTTTAATCACTGAAAATTTCAAAGCAATTGATGAAGTAATTGAAGAGAAAAGCGATTTTTTTAACAACAAAAGAGATACTAATAAGATGAAGAACAACAACAAAACATATTAGAACAAGAAAGCTATTGTAATGTTCATGAAATACTGTTATATTCTATCCCTTATATTTGGTCTATGACGTAATAATATTAGGACATCTAGTTTAATCCACGTGATAGGGATTCTAGAACTAATCTATGTCAGTGGCGGACGTATGTTGTATTTCTATTTACTTTTATTCAATATATATTCTGTGAGCAATTCAAGCCTGTGTTACTTGGATTCAGGCCTTTGAATATTACATCTGGCGATGAGGATTATTTTTAAGTCTTCAACTTACGTGGAATGGAAAAGATCGTTGGAAATAATTTGCTTTAAGTTCTACCGTAACGCTACTTACTGTGGCCGCTAACTTTAAAAATGGCGTCTGCGTTTATTTTTCAAGTGTCGAACCAATATGAAAGAAATGGCTTGCACGATTTGATAACTTGACATTTGCAATGAATATCGAAAATTCGTACGCAGACAAGCAAAGGAAGACATCTCTAATATTGCACTATATGGGTGAGCAATGTTACGACATTTATGAAACCTTGAAGGAGAAAAGTGATACTTTTGCTGATACCAGAAAAAAATGATTATTATAACTGATTATTAAAAAATGACTGATTATTTGTCCCAAAAGCCAATAGTGAGTACGAAATTTACCTGTTTCGCAACACGAAACAATATGAATGTGACTGTGAGTCACTTGGTCAATTTTGTACACGACTCAAGATAATGTAAGTGAACTGTGAGTTTGAGGGGGAAATCTAAAGTCATAAAATTCAGGGATGCAAATCGTCTGAATAAAAAAAAAGTTTGGGCAAAAGAATGGATTTAAAAACCCTACTCGACACTGCTAAAGCAATGGAACTGGCAAAATCTCACTTGTCTGGCATGGAGGAAAAATCTGAAGACACTGCACAAGAACAGGTACTCCCGTAGTATGTGCAACATTGGCGGGCACCGGAACGTAGCATGTGTATCAGGTCAGGTTTAGGCCATAATTCCAGGTACAAATACTACGGGAGTCACTTGGCTAGTCCCCGAACTAGTAATAGAACTAAAATAAGGAAAATCAGAATAAAATTATGGCCTAACCCTAACCTGGTACACATACTATGTTCAAAACAAGAGAAGGGGTCTAGTGAAGGACCAGCCGCAATCATCTTTTCTTGGCGGTATGTTACTGTTTTTCAAATGTCAATAATTCTCTCGGTATCAGTCCGTCGCATAAAACTACGTTTGGGTTTGTTGTTTGTCAAACAACCAGCCCTTTTTTCTCAAGGCCTCTGGTTTTATCGAGTCTTCTCTCATATTGTCTTTGAATCTGCTTTTTTCTTTTCGTTAAAATGCACGTATTGCCGTTTCATAGACTCCAGACCTGTTTCTAGTGTGGAGCAAAAGTTTTTTGCTTGCTGTACGTGATACAGTATTTCATTGTCTCTATACTCTTGATAATTTGGTGCGCGTCCTTTCGAGTGGCCATAAGCTGAAGCCTGGCCATCTTTCGTAACGATAGCTCTTTCACTGCCTCGCATCACCTCCTGTAGAAACGCTATGTTATATTTACCGCCCCACTTTTCCTGCAACATTTCTCGCAGAATGTCTCAAGAGTAGAAACCTTCGCTGGCATATGGGCACTTCTCATGTCTGCAGTGAGGTATTACCGGGCGCTGTATTTTTTCTCCAAATTCCTGTGTTTTCCTGTCTGGTGATGTCACGTACATAGCCCAAATTTCTGTCTCGCCTTCTTCGCATTCATTTCCAGCCAGTAGGCACGTGATAAACCATCCAAAATAAAAGTTGACTGGTGTAATAATTTAACTATTTGGAATCCCGATAAGTGATTTAGCCATTGCTGTAGACTTTTATTTCCAAATAAATATAACAAAAAAACAATCTTAACATCTGCGAGCTTGGGTTTTTGAGCTTTTTTTTCATTCTTTTAATTAATCCAAAAAAAAAAACCGTACTGCACGGATCATATGCTCTGGCTGCGGGGGTGTTCCATTTCTGATCATAGTACGTTATAGGGTAAACGTTTTTGAATGGTGGTTCTTCCCCCTCTTTTGTTTGAAACATGATAGCGCCAAACCCATTCTATGAAGCATTTGTTTCGACATACGAAGGAAGCCTTTGGTCTACGATTCTATACATAATATAATATTTTCGTATTATTCAGTTGGCGTCGTGCGATCTTGTAGTCTTCAAGTAATTCTCTAGTCTATATTACAGGCGTGACTCAGGCTTTTGTGGCAGGTACGTTTCCTGTTAGGGCGTCAAACTTTGCTTGTTTCAGGCTTAGTTCCCGAATATGATCTGCTATATAACTCAGAGCACCGATCCATACTCTAAGTTGGTATATATTTCGTGGCGGTGTGAGTTCTTGTAACGCCCTCAGTCTTTCCAGTTGAATCTATTTTTTCCACTTAAGGTCGCGCCTAGCAGGTTGATTCGTGATGCTCTCTTATTGATGCTTTCGATTTTCGGTCAATTTCATTTTTGCCAATTGTTCGAAGGTCATTTGGAGCAACATTAGGAGGTCCTCAACTGTTTTAGTGCTAAGGAAAATGTCGTCTATGTATGCCTGTATCGGCGACGCCTTTGCCTTTTCCAGTCGGTTATTGTTAGTCATCTGTTCCCGATATGTCCCTGTTGTGGGTTTCACCACACACTCTTGCATGATAGCCGACCATAACGCAACGGCAGTTTTGAGTCACATCGGCATTTTGCGTCAACGTATGTGTAATCCTTTCACTGCTATTCCAAGAAAGGTTTTAGACTCTTCGGTCACATCACAATGAAAATAAGCTTTCTTGAGGTCGAGAAACGTGAATACTTCTATTCCCTGCGCCATTTGCTTTACATCGGGTATTAAGTAAGTCGGAATCTGGATCGTTTTCATCGCCGCATTTGAGGGTTGAAGGTTTTGCACAACCCTTCAGGATTGCTGCCAGCCCTCCTCTTGCTTTTGCCGTTAATTCATCTTTTGAGGCACCACGAATATTGCCAGTTCCTATTCCGCGAACCCCGTCTCTATTACTCCGAGGGCCTGTATACCTCCTTCTATATTTCATCCGGAATTATGGTGCCATCGGGTGTTTTTAATCCGGGTGGGGTATATAACACTTTTGCGGGACATCATAGGCTAGGTTAGGATTCAGGTTGTGCGACATCTTGGTGCGCATACTTCTGTAGCATCCTTTTGTGAGTGCTACTGCTACGTCGCTAAGTCTCTGTAATTCTTCCCTTACTTCCATCGAAGTTCCTTCCTGTAACCTGTACCGAAGTACCTTCATGTATGTGACGGATGATTTACCTGCATTCTGTGCGTCATTCCGGAATTCCAAGGTTTGGCCCCCTCTAGGGCTGGGACTCTATCCTCCGGATCTGGTCCCCCTTTTGTGTGCTTGAATGTCTGGTCTTTCGAACTCTATTCTTGACCAGAGGTATTGGGCAACTTTAAATACAACTCTGTACTTCTCCCCTCCCTGTAGGCTCCTGGCAAATGGTCGTCACCCTCTGATTCTCCCACGGCCATTACCAAATTACTTATACACGACGACGGGTCATTCTTTTCTGTCCTTATCGACTGTAGCGCTTGTACTTGTTCTAACATGCCAAGGCCGATTATATTCAGTAGTATTCCCTCACCTGTGGCGAGAGAAATCTCTAGCCCATCTATTTCAATTGTCATCAACGAATTTACCTGGCATGTGCCACCTATGCCTATTACCACCCACTCGCCGTCGTCATTTTTTGCCAGTATCATACCGGTTGTTCAGAGTATCGCTTTAGCCAGGCAGTTAGTCACGATGTGCTCAGAAGCCTTGCACATGTAGCATACTGATAGTGATTGACCGTTACGTGGTGTGATGTACAGCCCAAGCGGTGCAAAGATGTTTGGCTGCGCCAAAAAATCATAACGCTCACCTACGCGGTTGGCTATCAAGGAGGCTTCCTGTACACTGCTTGGAGTTGTCTCCTGCTGGCTCAACAATTGAGGTGGCGTTCTCGGTACTGGGCGTGGTCGTTGTTGTAGTCTGGGTGGTATCAGCGGCACCGTAGCATCTCTTTTCGCAGGTCTTCCCTTCCCTGCCTTTTGAAATCGAGCAGAAGGCTTTTCTCATGTCTTTGGTCCTTCTTAAGCTTGTCGATGCAGACGATTTCTTGTCGGCTGAGGCGGGTCCCTTCTATTCCCGAATGCCTGCCCACTCGTGCTACGACGAGATTCCCCCATACTGTTCGCCAATCGTTCATCCTGGACGTTCTTAAGAAAGTAAGGGTACGAGTGTAACAATTCAGCTTCGAGTGTAACTATGGCACAAGAAGGCAGGGATCTTTCGGCTGCTGAGTGTACGTATGTCACCGGTGGAGGCGTGCAAGTGGGTGGGGCGGTTGACGTCGCTGACATTACAGCATGGGTGGAGGATCCCCAATATCTCCCGTTTCTGTCGGTCGCTTTAACCGCTTGCTGATCTGAAAATTCCGAATTTCAGAACTCTTGCAATTCCTTTGTTACATCACCCCATGTGTCTTGCTCGTGGCCTTGCATTACCAGCCTGAGGGATTCTGGTGATCTTGATCGGAGATTACGGGAAAGTCTAATTTCATCTGGGTCTTTCCTTATTACGTCCTCTAGTTGTATATATAGTTGGCGCAGTGTCCTTTTTATCTCAATCAAGGGTCTCTTTCTTCAACTGTAACTGTTTGCAAAGTCATTGATAGGGATGCCACTTTTGGATTTCCAAATCGGATCGATTTGAATTGCATCTTTTCCCAATCGATTCGAATCAGATTTATGCGATTCGGAAAATGACAGCGATTTACCGAGAAAAAAAAAACATTGAACGTTTGTTAATCGTTGTTTTCGGCGGCATTAAAACTATTGAATGCGTTTATGCGGAACTCCAAATAACACCAAATTACGGGATAAAAATGAAAATGAATTTTTCGTGATTGAATTTTTACTGATCTGCCGTCATTTGTTTCAAGTTCAGCACAACACACTCTTTTACGTATCCTCGAGATGATGTGTGGCGTGTGTGTGTGTGGTATGGTAATATATGGCGCTTTAAACAATTTGAGTCTTTTGCGCCAGACAATTTAAATCAAAATTTTGTATATGGCTATAGTACTCTCTTGGTAGATTTCACAAAATCAACAAGAGCAGGGAAAATGCTAGGGTCGCGTAAGATAGCTTTGAATTGAAATTCAATGCCATAATCGCGGCATTTCATCTTTAGTATGCGTCTTTCGTTTCTATATGCACGACAGTTCATTAGAAAATGTTCTACTGTCTCTGGATCATCACAGAAATCGCAAAGTCCATTATTATGGCATCCTATTTTATGGAGGTGCCCATTTAAACGGCAATGTCCCGTCTGAAGTCGAAATAAAATTGTGTCCATTATTCGTGGTGACCAAGTGCTGAACTCTTGATGCTGTTTTCAATTGAGGGGAAAATTGTCTTGTAATGAAACGCTTGGTCACTGTGTATAAAATGTTGATCCCATTTATTAGCGCAAAATTGTCGAATTTGTGATTTGACTTTGATTTGTGATTGGGATAATCTTTTGTCCACATCGACTTTCGCCAGTGATACCTTTGCTATTTTGTCGGCGACTTCGTTACCCGGAATGCCAACACGTCCTGGAGGCCATAGTAGTGTGATTTTGCATCCTTGTTCCTGTAACTCAAAAAGACAAGTCTGAATATTTGAAGATATATTACTAATTTGATCCGAGTTATTATTTATAGCGTGTATAGCAGACATACAATCCGATATGATAAGTATATTCCCTTTATAGTTATTTTTTGACCATGTAAGGGCACTATATATTGCAAAAACTTCACAATCAAACGAGGAACAGTATTTGCTTTATATCTTTTGAACTAATATGGATGCACTTTATTTTCTACATTTTTAA